CGGTCGCTGGTGTCCCGGTCTTCGCAGTCGAATCGGATTCGCGGGCACCGCGCCGTGTAGACTTTTTTTCCGGGCGGGTAGCCGCCGCTGAAATGCTTCTTGTGTAAGTAAAAATCTAAAGTGACTACCGAGATCTAAGTTTTAATTAGTTTATCTTGGCCGCGTGGCCATTGAATATTTATGAGCTATCGCGGCCGCCGCGGTGAGGCGCACGAGAGAGCAATCAACGGAGAAACTGGGAACCAGAAGGGGGAGAGAGAAAGAGAGAGAGAGAGAGAGAGAGAGAGAGAGAGGGAGGGAAAGAAAGGGGACGAAGAATGAGATTCCACCGGTCACGGAAAGGAACCGCCTGTGGTTACTGTCATCCCGTGGGATTTCGTTTTCGATGCTTTACGTCGAGACGTTATCCTACGGGATATAATTGCACGCGGTTGTCTACACGATCTACGCTCCCGACGGAAAACGGATATTCCTCCGTCTCCTTTGAAAGTTCCGCGACTACGGAATCGTTCTCGTTGAGACTAAAATACCGTTTCTAATAGGCGTCATTATCGCCGTCGTGGAAACACTCGGGACTCTTCACGGATCACGAATTCAAGGGGACATTTCGAGAAAACTCGGGGGATTAACGGTTTTACCGATATTCTCTCCCTCTCGATATCTAGAGGACATCAACGACGATCGAAACAGATGACGACGCCGCCGGTGTTCCCGGTAATAAGGAGCACGAAGAAACACTCGAGATACAAACGTATCTGGGGCAAGTGGGAACCAGCCAGAGTCTTTTTTCTCATCCGGCGCATAATTCGCGGGTCGAGCGAGTATATAACGGAAGGGAACGCGGACGGATGCGACGTAGAGGGGGGAGGGTAGGGGTGGAAAAATCGTAGGAAACAGGAGGGATGAAGGATTCCATCGAGGTTGGCTGCTGGCGCGGGGGCTTTGGATCCACCTCCGCGAAATCCAAGGGATGGAAAAGAAGCAGGAGAAAGAATCTATAAGTCCATAAATCTGTAAAGCCAGTCGTCGGAGAGAAAGAAGGAGAGATCGGGAGAAAGCAGCAGGCGGGGAACCCGCGCGACATAAATTTATGACCGGCACCGTAAAAAACAGAAGCAGAACACGCCGAAGAATTTTTATTTCCCGCAGACTCGAGAAATATTCCCGGGCTTTTGGCAACGATCGTCGGAATCTGCTGATCCCGGCTGTACTGTGCGGTTCGCTCGAACCGGAAGCCGTCGTCGCGGTTAATAATATAATTCGTGAAGAAATCGTTCGACTCGTTCTTTTGAATTTTGCGAAAGAAAACTCAGCAGGACAGGGCGTCGCGCAGGGAAAGGGTGAAAAGGGGAGCGGGACGGTGACAGAGTTTGAATCGTCGGTGATAAAAAGCTGGCCGGAACAAGTTTTTCATCGAGCCCATTTTACGAACGCCACCGCGCGCTCCTGCGCGAATATTCGCGACACGTTTATCTACACGGCAGCGCACACGTGCTTAACGCCGACGCGTTGGGTTACAGATTGTCGATTCATATTTACATTTTAATAACTCTTCTCTTCTACCTCGTCACTCTCGTTCACTCTGCACGGACGCGGATCGCGCATCCGCGCGCGCGGTTACCCGGGGAACCTCTTCCTTCCTACTTCCACCATCTCTCTCTTTTCTTTTCACGCGAAATCATGATTCCAGGCACACGGTATTAACGCGGTTGCCGCCTCTACCCCATTAAAAAGAATCCCGTTTTAATGCCGGTATCCTTTGTCGACGCCGAATTCTTCGGTAAACGGGAGGGGATGCACGGACTCCACGCGAGAAAACGTTTCACGCTACAGGTATCCGTAAGAGAAACGATTCGGTTGGCAGATTTTTCGCCTGAACATTTTCCTTTTTTCTGCTTTTATTCGACGCACCGGTAGATAAAGGATGCGTATGTACATCGTTAACTCGTTACAGTATCCATTCTTAATTTAATGCGCATGAAATTTAACGATTTAACAAGCTCGCTTCGCCAGACGCATCGTACCGTGTAACTCTTTATAATTATATCATCGAACGGCGGTAGAGGTTACGCGGGTGAACCCCACCAACCCCCTCGCGCCTTCTCGTTTTTAATCGTGCCCGGTGATTATAATAATTCGAATTTCAAATGCGTATCCGGCTGTACCGATGACCACCGCGGCCCCAGTTATAGGCAAATATTTTTCTGGTCATTGGATCCTCCGTTGCCCCGGCGAAACGATAATTTTTGATATATTTAACGTTACTACGATTCCGCCGCGCGACGGCCGCTCTCGCGTAATTATCGCCCGCGTATATTCGCCGGCCGGATCGCTTATTATTACGTACAGCCTGTGAACATTTTATTCGATTTTAATAATCACCGAGGCAAATACGCGTTCGGTCTTTTACGATCGTTGTGAAATGTCCGCGGGAAAAACGGACGCGATGCGTCGAAAACCGTTGGAACATTACGGTTGTCGAACGAAACGAACGCTCGAAAAAGAAAAAAATACAGTTGTGGTTTTGGGTTACAGGGAATAAAGGGTCGCTGAAATTGCACCGAAGTTATCCGTCGTCTGGTTCGCGTCCTTTGGCCTTTTTTATTATCGTTCTCGCGACGTTGGCGGGCGCGAGGAGTCGCGACGTAAGAGGAACGTACCGCTCGCTCGCGAGTGGGGAAAATCATTTAAATTTAAAAGGATCCAACTTCGAAGTTTTAAGCGGACCAAAGGAGGAAGTTCGTTGTCCCTTCTCGGAGCCCGCATCGGGCTTATTTGCATGAGAAAAGTGTTCTACGATTCCTTCGATTACGCACTCGCCACCATGGGCCCCGAGACGGGTTCACATTCTGGGAAACTCTTTCAGCCGATCCTCGTAGCGATGAACTTTTCAGATAGACGCGAGACACCGTACACGTGTTACATTCACAGTGCAGGGGTGGTCGACGGTTTCGCTCTTTACCGAATGCTTCCTTCTTCTTTTCTTTTTTCTTTCTACGCTCGATCCAGCTTCATCCCGTTTCTTCGTCGCTCAATTTTTCCTCCCGGCTGCTCGTCGATTATTCAACAGCCTCTCGCTCTTGCGTTTCCTCCTCGACACGTCTCCGCCTGAAATACAATGTAAATTTCTCCAGAAATTGGTTTCAAACACGTCGCAAGATATCGAGGGTATTTCCGTAACCGCGATCAAAGAATTAGAATACCGCCCGTAATTGTACACCGATCGATCGAGATCAATTGAATTTCCAAGAGACCAGCAATCCGCTCGATTTTGTGTTTCGACTCGAGTGATCCGGCCGTTCGCTATTTTTTATTTCCCAGAAAAATATTTCGCGCGTGTTTCTACGGTAATCCTCGGCCCTCTCTTCGTGCGCAACGACCCACACGGGGTTCCCAATGGGAGGTTGATATTGGCGGTTGATTATCAATTTTCTACCAATTTGGTTCCACTTGTAGCGGCGCCAGCTTTTGTCCCGCTAATCACCCCTTGGCTCCCGCTTTCACCCCCCGCCGGCTACATCCGATCCGCTTTGCATATTACGCCACGATATATCTCTACTATTCTGCATGACTTGACGAGTACCATCCCGCGTGTCGCCTTTCTTCTTTTTCTCCCCCCTACTCACTCTAAAAAAATTCTCTCTGGGCACACCGGTTAAGCAGCCTAGTGCCGCGTTAAATAACCACGTCAACCCTTCATCATCGATCGAACCGCATTCGATTGGGAGGATGGACCCAGTGGGTCTAATTAAAAACGTACGAAACGCGACACTAGTGTATGGGGTCAACTGTGGGTCCATCTTCCCCCGCGAAGATGGCGGCTCGAGGGGATTCGTTTCCGTTCGAGTCGAAGAATGCGGTCGCAGACTTTTTGCGAATTAACCGGCAGGCTGGCGAATGCGTTCGCAAAACAACAGAGGGATCAAACGTGGACGCTTATGGGATCAGCGATCTGAAAACGTTGTGTTGTTTCAGGTGAGCCAGCTCTCACGCGCCACACCCTGTTTTCCACGGGGTGAATCCCTTCTCCCCGCTCCCTCAGGCTTCAAACCGCCGCACCGCGCACTCCCACCGCGATCGGAATTTCGAAATCGCTCGGTCTACCGGCTAACTAAATTTTCATTCCTCCGAAAAATACGCCATCGTTTCCAACGACCCCCTCACCTGCGAACGCCTCGATACGCATTTTTTTGGCGAAGCAGCGAACGTTTTTTCTTTTTTTTTTTGCGCCGCGAATATCTCCGCGGTATTTTTTGTTTAACGTCGACACCGGCCCACAGTCGGAACAAGTTAATTTCCATTAAACGCGACATCGTTGTCTAGTTTTCTCGTTTGACGTTCATCGAGATTTATTCGCCATTAGGCGCGCAATCGGTGGAGGGGCGCGACCACGAAATAAAATTCCTGGTCCCCCCTGCGCTCGCGAGTATCGTCGCGCGCCTGCTCAAAATTCCACGGGGGCTGCTGGCAATAAACAGTGTATCACTGTATCCGGGAACATTAAATGCCGCTTTGCGCGCCGGTCTCTCGGCTTAAGCGAAATGAATCGGTATCAGGGCGAGACCTTTCGAGAATTTCGTGCTGGAGAATCTTTAGAGATAAAATTCTCAGAGTTGTATTTACCGTTCTTTGTAGAATCTGCTAGCAACGACAACGAGGTATAGCTTTGTGAAGAAGAAGGAGAAAGAGAGAGAGAGAGCTATCCATCGATGACGGTATAGCAGAGGAGCAGAGCATGATCGGTTGTGACACCAGTGACCAATCGGCGAAGGGAAGGTGGCGGGGGTAGGAGATGGGCGCGGTAATGGGAAAGCCATGCACACCGGCCCGATTCGCCACTCGCATAAAATTAACCAGTTCGTTCGTTCGTTCATTTTAATTAACGAAACACTGGGGACACCGCGTGCGCGCGCGTGTTGTACGTCTATCTTTTGGTTTGCTGAAGAGCGTGCGAAAAACTCGTCGCGTTGACGATCGTGGTGCTTCTCTCCCTCCCCTCTCCACCTGCGATTATTTCGGCCCCCAGTGTTTATCGCGGCAGATCGACGGCGACAACGACACCGAGAAATTATCGGTATAACCATCTTGGTTAACGCCAACTGGCTTCGACTACCGCGGCGTACCGGTCACTGGTCGAAAAAGAGGATCAGCGACGGTGGTCGTGAATTCCTCGCGGTCCTTCGGTTTCGTCGCAACGTTCGGCAACCTTCTCGAGTTCACGGATCAGAGCGTGTTCGTGCAGCTCCGAGCGTCGCGGTCCCCGGAGGAGGAAGGGTCCTTCTTCTCCTCTGTGGTCGAGGGACCGTATAAGGTTAACGTGTAGAGCGGCTCCCGGTGGCACGATGATGTCTCTATCTACGACGGCGAATAGCGGCCCTCGGTTAGGTGTGCGAGCCGATGCAACACGTGTGTGCACGGTGGATGGACGCGTGCATGTGCCGAGGCACACAGGCGCCATCGAGGCATGCAACGAGAGCCCCAGGGTCGCGTGGGGTCAGCCAGTCACGGAGTTAATTAGACGCCGTGCTTCGGGAGCTCACGTGGCAGCACGCTCAGATATCAATCGGTTCTTTGCGCTCCTGGATGGACCCGAGTGTGTGCTTGCTTTTCTTAAAAGATTCTCATCCCTCCTTGTCTCTCCATGCACCCCCTTCGAGGACGAAAAATGGGATACCGAACGCAGATCGAATCGCGCGCTTAGAACGGTGCCCCGTTCGTTTCTTTCTCGCGCCGTTTAATTAAGCCGCGACGAAAAGCTCGAGAACGAACTTTTGCCTCTGGACGCGAATTTCGCTTGAATACTACATTCCGTTCTTTCCAGACGTGATCTGTACACGTGCTCAGAGAGATTAGGTGCATTTATCGGTTTTGTGGATTTTCTACGAGTCGACATTTTCATCGTCGCGCACCCATTTCGCTGCCCCGGAGGATCTCGACAGATTTTACGCTCGCGGAAGAAGCACGCCCACGGTGAGTTCACAGCCCTCCTTCCTCGCGTTTCTCTCCCGACTCGATTATCCCGACTAATTCGGCTATCCCATTTGGTAGCGAGATAGGAAACCAGCAAGCACCCGTTCTCCTTTGCTCCCTTTCTTCTTCGTCCGTCAGGAGACGCGAGATCGCACCGGTGGACTTACCTTTCCACCCACGGGCTCCTTAACGCGAGCTACCGTGAAACCGACTACTATCTGCAATTAGCCAGTCACATTTATATGACCTGATTACGCCTGTTTGCCAGCTTCGTTTAATCCTCGAGATCCTCCGAAGCACACAGCTTGCCAGGGAGTTTCCTTTTTCTCCTATCGCCACGAAACGATCTCTTTTTTCGCGGTTCGTTTATCTCCGTGGCCCGTGTGTTTCCAAATCGGGGCTATTCGGTAATAAGATTCGCGTTCTATTTTTGAAGAATGGAATAGACGGGTACAGGGGGAGAATCACGAGTAAATTTCCGCGGTCGGATATTTGCAAAAGGAACGAGTACACGAGAGAGTCGGGAAACGACGAAGAAAGGGGAAAGGGTCGAGGGGGGGCGAGAGAAAGAGGGACACTTCGTTAAGGCATAGGATGATAACGAGGAGGATTCGAATAACGTCCGGGACGCCTCACCTCAGGGTTCACTTCAGCGCGAACGGTCTCGCTTACGCGTCCTCGCGAGAACGTGCGAACGTCTACGGTTCGCACCGGTAAAGGTGATACGCGTATACCGAGAGTGCGGACAGATAGAGATGAAAACTCGTGGAATTGTGAAACGAGAGGAAGCGGAGGAGGACGAGGACGAGGGAGCACCATGACGGAGGGTTCGGGTGTAGGTCCGCCGCCCCTGCTGGCTCGTTGGAGATGGAAGCAATAGGGATCAACTAGTATGCAAATCGCATGTAAATATCGTTCACTCTCCCGGTACCGAACCAGCTAAAGCCTCTTTCTCTCTCTATCTTTCTCTTTATGTCTGCGTCCCTCCATTTCGTGTCTCCTCCTCCCTCTTCCCCCTTTCTCTCCCTCGATTTCTCTCGGTCGTACGCTCTCTTTCTCTCTCTCTCTTCGGTTCTGGAGCACAAGTTGGAAGAAATCAAAGCAGGGGACAAAGCGAGCGCAGACGTGATCGTGACGGAATTTTTTCTCGTTCTCGCGTGTTACTCGCTCTCTTCGGTCGAGCCTAGCAGCACTGTCTCACCCCCTGTTGGAGGTAATAGTATTTGCTTTCGCTCCATCTCGAGGCTCCCGATGATGCGTCGGGTCCAAGTGGGTGTGACGGAACCACGGATTCTGTCGTTGATTCGCAATTAATTTGTTTTTACCCGGGTAGCTGTGGTACCCATCCGTTGATCGGAACTCCCTCCCTTGAACCGTGGAGAATACACAGTCAAGGATACCGGAGAAACGCATCGGTTGGTAACGAAAACTGTTTCAATTATTCACGCGGTATTATTTTAGCTCGTGAAACGCACCTCTGGAGTTATGCTCAGTCGTCGGTGTGTATCGTATAAAAGCTGATTTTTCCGGATGCGCGCGCGCGTGTTACTTCGCGAAGGAGTCCTCGTAACGGCGAACGAAGCATTAAAAGTTGGTGGAAATCATTGCCGTAGAAAAGTTCTCACGTTTCAAGGTACAGTCGCCACCGAGTGTCTTAACGGAATAATCGAGCGATACCATGGCGGATCTCTCGTCGCTGCCAATCGTAAACGCTAGAGCCGTTCTCGGCAACTGTGACATAATGTCTTCGTCGGTGACGTTCGAGTAATGCCGACAGTATAAAGTTTCGTTGGATCGTCTCCCCGGGGAATCGGGGTAATTTCGTCCGGACAATCTTGCAAAATTGTCGATCAGCTCCCTGCGGGACGTTAAATGATGAAAATTCCATTCGAGGCTTTTGGGACTGGCGAACCGACGAATCGGTGGCCATCTGGAGGCCGACGAACCTTTAACGCAAACGTTCATAACCAAAAAGTTTCCACATTTTTTCATGACCGCGGTACCCAGGTAGGTATCCGCCCGCCAATGACCATCATTTACCCTCTAACCGATTTTAACTTTCTCTTTCTATTTGAGACAACTGTACGTTGTATTGTTTAAATCGAGGAAAGGAATTTAGTAACATGTGTAGTTGCTGA